AGTTCTGCTGCTTAGAGCAAAAGGCAGGCGTCATAGTTTCTGGTGTACTTGTTTGACAGTAGGGTAAATTTTTACCTTATGCACAAAGTTGTGTGCACAGCTGATGTCAGGTGGAGCAGGGATGCAGGAAGCAGGTGCAAAGGTTGTGGCCAGCACAGGAGCAGGTGAAGCAGTTGCACAGCTTATGTGAGGAGCAGCAGGGATGCAGGAAGTAGGTGCAGAGGTCATGGTCAACACAGGAGGAAGGACATGTATATGTTTAAGGCAGCCATAAGATCTCTTCCTAGGAGAGGGGTGCCCTTCTTCACCACTAAGAACATTGCTGAGGTGGTTAAGACTCCTCTACTCACTTTGACTTGCAGGCAGCCAAGCACAGGGATTATTGTCTTTTTATAGGTCATGAGCTGATTTACAGGTGGAGCAGTGGTGTGTCACTGAAGTACTGTTCATAGATGCAGTATGGCAAAATTGACACTGCAGAGCCTGTATCAACAACCAGTTCATGCTTGTTGTCAAGAGAAGCAGGTATATGGATATTAATTTTGTACTTAAGTGTCTCTGGTGCATGGCAAGGGTCTTTTAAGTATAGCACAGTCAGTTTAGGTAGCTGTATCTCACCTACATCACTGGTCTTGGATAAGTGACAAACATGGGCAAAATGTTCAACTTTGTGGCACGACTTACAGGTTATTTTGGCTACAGGACACTGAGGGGAATTAGCCAAATGTTTGTCAGAGCCACACCTGAAACAACTATGAGACTGAGATGTAGCAGTGACATTGGGAGGTGCAAGTGGGCGGGATTGTACAGCTTGGACTGGAACACTGCCATCTGCTGCAATTGCTTTGGCTTGTTGAACTGCAGACATCACTCATGTTATGGCTTTATCCAGTGTCAGATCTGGTTTGAGCAAAAGCCTTTCCCTGATGCTGAAATTGGTCACATGTTCAATTAGTTCAAATCCGCATTTTGAAGCAAAGTCCCGTAATACAGCCACATACTGTGTAATAGTCTCATTAGGTGCCTGTCTTCGCTGTATGAAAGCATGCTGTTCCACGACAACATTAACTTGGGTGTGAAATGTTTCTCTATTGCAGTGACAGCAGAGGCGTCACCTATATCTGGCAATGAGTAAAATATCCGTTGTCCCTTGGATCTGAGGCACTGGAGTAAAGTAGCTCTCTTCCATGGCTCAGGCCAAGCATTTCCTGTTGCATTTATAACCAGCAAGTAATTGTTGAAAATCTGCATCCACACGTTCTCTTAGGCATGGCAAAAAAGTACGTTTCCAGCCATGTTGAGGCAGCAAAGAGAGGCAACAAAAGGAGGTAAAAAAACACGTAGGTTCACTCATCGCCAAAGTGTAGTGTTGACTAGGGTTGCAAAATTCCAGGAATTTTCAAAGTCAGAAACTTTCCATGGGAATAAACGGGAATAAACAGGAAATTTACAAAACTGAAGGTTGGCCCTTATCAGAGAACTGAAATATTTTTGGGGAAAATATATTGTAGCATAATCTTGGCTAAAAGAACCAGATTTAATGCAAGTACACTTGAATATCTATGCAATTCCTCAATCATATGCACACAGCACACTGCTTACTGCAGAGCTATTGAGGCCACACCCCCTACATGCACTCTGCATTCCTCCATCACATGCACAGATGATTTCTAGAACCCTGGAGTATTGAAGCCACACATTTAAGCCCACAGACTACATAAAGTCAAGTAAGTTTTGATAATATTATAGGGTAAATATATTTGATCTATGGTATTAATGTTTAACTTGCAAATATTAAATGAAAATGTATTTATACAGTAACTAGCTAGCTGGTAAGTTAGGTGATAAATGTAAGCTAGGTAGCACCATTTCATTGACCATTTAAGAGGCTAGCTTATCATGATGCTAGCTACCTCAAATGCGATACTGTTTCTTCTGCCTCCTGCAAGACGGTTTTGAAGGAAAGTCTGTGTATATGTTTCAATATTCTAGAAAGTCATACATGAAGAATGCCACAAAAATGCAGCGGCATATTGCAAAATGCCAAAAATTTCATCAAGGTTCAAAACATGCAGCAGACAAGAGTTCCACTCCAGGGGAAAATGAATCTGCTGTATCAGAGTCAGATACCCTCTCATCAGCTCCTGGTCCCTCTGGTATCAGAGGATTCTTTGATTCGATGGATGAACATAGCCAGAGAAATGCAGATGAGTGTTTCGCTCGTGCAGTCTATGCAACTAGCTCACCCCTGATGCTGACATCCAATTCTTATTTTGAGCGAATTTGAGTTGTAAGGTGTAAATGGAGAACTGGAATTGGACAAATAAGAAAGGTTGGACGGAATCTGTTTGTTTACCTAAGAGAAGTTAACTGAATGTATCAGGTGAATGATGATAAGTTCAAGTGCCAGTCAACACTAACTGCTAAATTGTAATTAGTTACTTTGGTAACTTTGGTCACATGAAATTCAAATTTGTGCAGTTGTGCAATAGGAGTGGCATGTCTCAATCATCGATAATACTTCCCAATGATCTGCTTTGCTGAAGTTCCAGTTGCTCACAAGTGCCAATAGGAATCCAGGCTGTGCAGCAACAGTTAAAACTGGATTCTGTTATCAGTGCAACAGGAGGGCTTGCACGTTGGTGTCAAACATGATCAGAGACAACCAAACAACCAAAACCAACACTATCTGCACACTGAGAAGGGATCTCTCCAAATACTATGTATTGAACACTGATGAAAAGATTACAAATTGTACAGGCATTTTTGATCACTCCATTTCAGTCCCTCTTCATTACCCATTACACTTAGAATTTTGATTCTTGTTTTTGTATTTTTTTTTTTTAGCTATGACAACACTGCACTCTGCAAAGTAATTGCAGATATCGCAAAACGCTGCAACATCACTGTAAATAGGTCATGTACATAGGCAGGCAGATTTGCAAGTACTACATTTAGAGTTAAAACTGAAAGTCAGTGTACCCAAAATATCAGTAATCATCATCATGATCCCTTAAACAACAAACCCAAAACAACATACAAGACAAGTCTGCCTAGCAGTGACAGTAATTATGATGAAAGCAAAGGAGGAAATCGGATGAAATTGTTAAAGCTACTTCATAAAATCGGAAAATCATTATTCTGCTTTTGTTTGCTTGATTATAACACAAAGGAAATACACAGAATCACAGAATCACAGAATCAGTCATTTAAACCAAGTGCCCCAAATCAACATACAAAACAAGACTACTTAGCAGTCACAGTAATTATGATGGAGGCAAAGGAGGTTGTTAAAGACAGGAGGTCAGGGTGTGGATGGGTGTTTCAACAAAAAATCGTTTACATAAAACTGCTCCTGTTTTCTTTTTTTTCTTTTCTTTTTTTTCTTTAGGCATCATGAACTTTTCTATTCAGGTTTCCTTAAGTACTTATATTAACCCAAATAACAAGTTTCCCTAACCTAACCACTTAATTTTTTTGTTTTTGGTTGGACTGCAACAGTGGGTCTAGCCCTATAATCTGGAATGTCCCTGACTGGCTGACTGACTGACTGACTGACTGACTGACTGACTGACTGACTGACTGACTGACTGACTGATTATATTTCCACCTCTAGTCACAGCCAAGTGCCTGTGGCCCTTTGCTGTGTGTAATCGCAGCACAGTCTATGTCTTTAATCTATGTGTTTGGTGATTTTGTGAGTTGACATTGTGGTTATAAAATCTACATTTGACCATGGGAGGTCCAGCCATATGCCAGGATTTTGATCTAGTCTTGTTTTTTGTTTTTTTTGTTGGTTTTTCTGCCTTTGGAAGGCACACACTTTATCTTTCTGATAGGGATGTCAGATCAGAAAATGCTTCTATTTTTCATTGTAGAGGGCATAGATAATATATCTTGTTGATTTGTAGGGACTTGTTGAGCTGTACTGTACAGTGTGCATGCACATACATGTGTATTTGTTAGGGAAGCTGCAGGTCAATGCATAGAAGTAGTGTGAGAGGCTTGTTAGTGTTGCGCAGTAGAGGCCTTACCTAGCCGGCCCAAATAAGATGTGCATTTAACCTCTTTCTCAATTGTCATTATTATCAGTTGTAGACGGGGCTGAGCAGCTATTCAGCCCCGAAATCAAGAAGAAATTCAATTAAAAGTAGTTTGAATAATTGGAGCAAAGAAGCAATCAGTGTAGAATATTTACAAAATCACTGTACAGCTATACAGCTTAAATTACACAAGTACACTTGAGGCTGATGTCAAAGTCATTAGTTTTGCAACTATCCAGTCATAAAGTATCATAAGTATTGGACAAAGTGAATTTGAATCAGTGAGTAGATATTCGTTTTAGGTGAAAAGGTTAAGTCTGACAGATAAAGGTTTTTCAAATATAGTATGCTTCAATATCACATTACCTGTTTTTCCTTCTCAATCATACACATGTTCAAATGTAGGTCAAAACATGTTTCAGTGCATATCCACAGCTATACATGGTGCTTCCCAAGCAGTGTTAGGCCTTAGCTTGTTATATGCTTGTATTATTGCAGAGACCCCACTATATCCCATCTGCTTCATGGTTGGCTTTATATTACAAATAGAATCTAGCACAAGTCCTCATCTGCCCAGGAGGTGCTATGGGAAATGTACATCAAAGATCATTGTCCCAAACCCTTACCTGCATGTATCCTTCAACACTGGATCGGTTCTTTCTTAATGTCAAGCACTGAGCTGGTAGTTGGAAGGCTGAAGAGGGTTGTTTTAAAAGTCCAATGTGTATCCAGAGGGCTTAAAACTCATCCACGGCTTTTCATGTTATAAAGCCACAGGCTGGAGCGATGATGAATTAGTTTCTGTGTCACATTCTGCATTGGGTCTGCATTCTAAACTCTGATAGACTTTAAACCTCAGAAAAGAATACAGGCACTTTTGTAACAAATGGTTACCTGCTCTCTCCCTCCCAACTCTGTATATCCCTTTCTGTGTTTCTCCCTCTCCCTGTGTGTCAGTCTATTGATCCAGTACAGCAGTTCACCTGGGAGCATTCCAACCTGGAGGTCAACAAGCCAAAGAACCGCTATGCAAATGTTATCGCCTACGACCACTCCAGGGTCATCCTCACACCTGTAGATGGTGAGAGACATCTCAAGAGAAGTCATACCATAAATTCTCAAATAGTGATCTGGGATCAATGGGTGATCTGGGAACTAAAGCCCTCTAAAGGTGAGGTAGAACAAACACAACCATGTTTTTTCATATCTTTGACAAGTCTATTTTATGAAATGGATGGTATAAAAATGTTTTGTTGCAAAAGAAGTTTACGCGGATGATATTTGAATCCTCCCCAAAACAGAAAATCATTTTTGGATTTTGGATTCTACAAAAGGGACCGCAGCTGCTTTCTTCACATAAAAATGACCAACTCACCAAGGCAACAGAGAAATACATACAGAGAAATAAGAAATTCACAAATATATTTGACTATTTTTGAAAATACATACCGTTAAACAAACACTGAATACAGGCAGGAATTGAATAGATAATTAAAAGTATAAAATATACAATACCACAAAATGTGATTCACATTACCACAATTACTGTTACATACAAACAAGTTGTTTGACTATTCAGTTGACTTGCTGGTGTAACTAGTCTCACCAGCACTGCACAGTGAAAAATACAATGGGCTCTACTGGTGTAAATGTGTTAAGAGGACACAAAAGGACACAAAACATATCTTAATTCAAATTCATCAAATTTGCTTTATTAGCAGGACTGTTTAGATATAATGTTCCCAAAGTACAAAGAACAGTACAACACTGTATGTAACATAACACTGAGGGGGGAAAAGACAGAATATACAGTTATACAGTACTACTGTGATGTGAAAAGTCATACGTACACACAGTCACACTTATAAACCACACACGTGTGTGTGCACAACTATATAAGAAGTGAAATTCAAACATTAGTTTAAGAGTCTTGGGCTGAGCTCAGACTCACTGTCCTTCATGTTATGGCAGGCTGCAACATATTGTGCAGCCAGTAGAGACGCCTGTCCTTTATAGATTACAATAGAGAGAGTGAAAAATAAAAAAAACTACATTTAATTCAAAAAATTTTGTTTTCTTGAAGATACAATAGAATCAACAGATAGATCTAGGGTAACTGTGCTTTCATCAAGAATTATATTGGGGCCCTCTAGAGGGTCACATGCACAGAACTGGCAAGCTGGCTGCAATACAAGGAGATCCCTTCGTCTGACTACACTGTTTGTCCTTGCAGTAAAAGTGAGTCTGGTCTCACTCTTCTTGAGGTGCTGCTGGATTGCTATAAATTACAGGCTCCACGGGTCACCCCTTTCCCACAGGACTCCAAAGCCTGGCCTTTGGTGATGGTGATGGCTGTACCACCAAATGGCAGTTTGGTAAATGGCTCTAATGCTGCATCATCTGTTGTGGGTAAATGAGAGGCAAGCATGTTGGAGGTTGAAACCAGTACATAACACAACTTATCAAGAGTGGTAGACTGTTTGGTTGTACCAATCAAAAACCATAGTAACACAATTGCCTTTCTCCACATCGGATAGCAAGGAAGGAATTTTTTTCAGAACTTCTTATTGAATGTTTTAAATCCAGATTGATTCAGACTATGAAGTAATGCAATACCATCTATGATGTATGCTGATGGTCCTGTTACATCAGGTAAGGGGAACTCATTTTTCACAACAGGCTCCAGTTTCTTGGCCAGGTCAGCTTTGGAGGTTTTTCCCATCCTTCCATCATCACAGAACAATGCAGGTGGCATCCAATCATTAGTAGAGGTGGACAAGTATCTATACTTTGACTCTATTACTTGAGTAAAAGTATAGATACTCCTGGTCAAATATTACTCCAATACAAGTGAAAGTTATTAGCACTTGATTTTACAAATACGCAAGTATTCAAAAGTACATTTTTACCTGTAGAACATGTTACAAAATAAACATGGCAAAACAGCATGGCAGTGATAAAGTTTGGTTGGTTTGGTAAATACAGCAAACATTTAGAACGAAATTAATATTTTTTTATTTCTAAAATTATCTAGTGAAGAATCTTCTGCCTCATTTTTATCTAATGCAACCATTGTTACCATTGTCACGGACAGGTTCAAAAGTGACTGACAGTGTAGGAGTTGGCTGTGATTGTTTTTTCTCCTGTGATGAACACAGTGTATGGTCTATCACATTTTTAAAATAAAATAAAATTCATTCACTGACTAAATGCTCTGCTTCAAAATAAGAGTACTTCATAGAAATGTAGTGGAGTAAAGTCATAAGTTTGAAAAAAAATAATAATACTCAAGTAAAGTACAGATACTGGACAAATAAACTCCTGCCAAGCACAGACGGGTCTGTCTTTTTTGACCGGCTTGGCCAGTTTATGTCTGACATGCTGCTGCCCCAGAAGACTGCAGCATAAAAAAGGACTCACCACCACTGATTGGTAAAACATGCTGCATTTATTCTAGCAATATTAAATCAAATGTTGTCCTCCCTACTTACTGTTCCACATAAAACAGGTAGTGTAGATAAAGCCTCATTCCATTTGTCTGCTGTCTTTGTGGTCTATTATGCTCTGCATAATTTATGATAAGCCACCGGAATTTTGGAATCCAATCCAATCCAGTTCTTTGTAGGGATGTATATGGACCTCATCATCTCTTAACTATGCCCAATCTAGAACTTTTTGTAATCCCTCTACTGGTTTGTTGGAAGCACTAAATTCATGTAAACACTATTGTAGTAACAGTAACTGGGTAAACTGATAAAAATGCAGTATAGCTTTTGAATTCAGGATCTACTTAAAGAGAATCTTGAAATACAGACTATACCCATAAAAATACAGGCATTCATCTACAAAATTTACAATGATTAGCTTACTGTTGAAATGTTAGAGGTTTTGCTACAATTCGGCATTACATATTGTGTTTTACACTGATGTTCATTAATGTGCATTGTCCCTATGAAATAAATTTTAATAGTTTTAATAATGTAATAATAAATTAATAAGTAAACATGCTAACGCTTTAATGCTAACACTAACGCTAATACTAGGTGCTATTTAAATGCAAGATATGCCACTAATGTGTGAAAACATTATCTTTTACTTCAAGATGGTCTTGTGTTTTTTTATGATGATGTCAGCAGTCAGTGATTACTTAAATAGTATCCTACCTAGGAGAAGAAACAAATGTTGGAAATGATGAACACATTTGTTCAAAATGTTTGAATGAAATATTTGTATTTTTTTTTCAGTTTAGATATGTTTAATGTCATTGTCTTAACAGATTTACACCAGTAAGGCCCCATTTTTACTGTGTCTGTAATATCTGTAATTGTCTATAATTGGATGCAAAAAGAAGTCCCTTTTGTAGAATCCAACATTTTCATCATTTTCAGTTTTTGGGAGGATCCAAATATAACTACTTTTGCAGTAAAATATTTTTATGACACCATCCATTTCATAAAATACATATATCAAAAGATATGAAAAACCATGGTTGGGCTATGTTCTATCTCGGTGGAAGTATCTCAAAAACTAAGGCCTTTTGGGAGATTTTCTTCCTCTACTACTTTATTTACCTCACATTCAGAGAGAACCAGGCCTTTATTTCAACAGGCTTATATTAGACAAACCTTTATTCCTGAGTTCCACATGTGTAAAAATACCACCCTGTTTTCTGATTTGTTCCCATTTTAATTTGCTTGCTAATGTCCAACTTGACCCTTGCTGCAGGAGTTCCAGGGAGCGACTACATCAATGCCAATTACATTGATGGTTACAGGAAGCAAAATGCTTACATCGCCACACAAGGGCCGCTGCCAGAGACACTAAGTGACTTCTGGAGGATGGTGTGGGAGCAGAGGACCTGCACTATTGTTATGATGACCCGTCTAGAGGAGAAGTCACGGGTGAGCCTCTCATGTTAAGAAATAGTAAAAATTATATTCAGATGACAATGGCCATGGTTTACAGTGTATCCAAAGTACAGGCACAAAGCGACATAAATAAATAGACCAAGCTCAGTTCAGAGCAGTAACAGGCATTCAATCACTTCATTCATAAAAAACAAGGGTTAATCTTCAAATGTGAACTCAGGGCCACTCCAAATGTTCCCTTAAATGTTCCCACAAGTAACATCACTTTGGCTTATGCCAGTTGCCAAAATATGGGGGCATGGTAGCACATTAGGGTCAAAGTGATTTTCAGGTTGTAAAGTGATGATAACAAATAACAATTTCTGTAGTTGTAAATTAACCTTTGTAAATCAGCATGAGAAATTTAACTTTCTGCATGATAACATCACAAAGGGCTGTGGACATTCACTCCATTGTAGTACATCACTGCTGAGGATACAATCAGTATATCAATTCTAGTGATATATGTCTGTGTTTTTAACTGCTGTGTTTGTAATGCACTAGTTCCAGTGGTAAGATGAGCTAATTGTGACATGCTGCTGATACCCAAACTCAGCCTGTCCCTCTGTAGTCTCTGCTGATGTGAGGTTACACATAGCAGGCCACAAATCCAATGCATGTGTCACACAGTAGTGTGGTTCTTTAAAATACCAACAACCCAAATATTCACTGTTAAAAAAAACCCATGCAAAGGATACGAAATAAAATAATAAAATGGCAGGTTAGGAAAAGTGAAACAAGCACTGATGAGTGTCCTTTAAAATGGCAATGCCAGAGTTCAATGCTCGTGTTAAATGTTCAGAGAAGATACTGTCCTGTTATTTTTCCTGGGAGGTGGAAACGGAGGTGGTCAATATGGCCGCTGGCATGTTTGGCATCCTGCTCTGCGTGTCCCCTCACTACGCGAACCACTGCCCGTCTTCTCTGCTGCGCCATTAGCTTTCTTTAGCAGGTGTTGAATCTGGTAGCTCAGCCTCCCACATCTGCTCCTCATCTCAGGCCTTATTTCCTGTCTGGTTGCCCGGTTTCTCTCAGTGGACTGTCCGTGCTGCAGCCTCGATTCCCGTCCAAGCCTTTGCTCCCTTCCTCCCGACACATAATCTCTGCTTTCTGCCGTACTTTCCCCTGCTCACCTGTGTCAACTCACTTAAAAAAATAAAGAGTTGCTCATTGTCCAATCCTGAGCGGAAGGGGGTGAAGTGTGGTGGACAGCTGTCGTTCATCAACCCAGTCCTCAGACCAAACCAACACCACAGCAAGTCCAAATCATGCAATATAAAAAAACAGCAAAATCAAACATAATAAATATTTTTACATAATGCACCCAAAACTGCTCAGATGTGCAAAATGAGGACAAGTTGATTAAAAAGAACTTAGCTAAAAAAAAAAGTCCCACCTTGACATCCCCCCCTTCCTTTAACACAGTTCGTCCCGACCAATTACTCAGCACAATACCTGGCTGGAGGAAGCCCATAGTTAGCTCGCTGTGATCGCTGCACTTTGAGGTGTTCTGACTCACCAGTGGGGGTGATTGTTGCGATTAATCTGGGAAGCCACCAGGTAGGAGGTGGCAACCGAGTTTGCTGGTCAACCAGTGGAGGTTCTCGTTCAGTGGCACTGTGTTTTCCTGCAGCACATTTAAAGGGCATGGCCTGAGGTTATTGTGATGCAATGTGCGTGTGGGTGCTTCCTTCCTTCCTTCCTAGCAAATCTGCACGCTTAGCTGGTCTGGGTTAAATCTGAGATATACAACAAGATTGATGACAAGATTGTTGATGTGATGACCACATTGAGAGGGAAAATCGCCTCATTAAAAGCTGAGAATGACGCAACCATCAGTCCGTTAAAAAAACAAGTTAAAGCTCAGAATGAAACGCTAAAGGAGTTAGCCCAGGCGAACAAAGGCACTTCAGATTCCACTCAGGAGTTGGAAAATAAAGTTAAATATGGGAAATCTTTAAGGCATATATAAGGGCAGTTTTATGAGGGGTTATATATGTTTCAATCTACTGCTTCTCCAAGGGACACAAAAGAATTTCTAAGCAAATGTAAACTACCAACACTGAATCAGAGTGACTGTAAAATCCTGAGTGCTAAAAATACATGTGAGGAAATAAAAAAATCAGTGGGAATGCTTAAAAATGGCAAGAGCCCAGGTCCTGACGGGTTAGGTAATGAGATGTACAAAATATGTTATGATTTACTTACCCCCTATCTACTTAAAATGTATAATCAGGCACATAGAGATGAGACACTACCACAAACACTTAATGAAGCAGTTATTACTGTAATCCCAAAAAAGGCAAGGATTTAGAGGAGGTTAGTTCATATAGGCTAATCTCCTTACTGAATACAGATCAAAAGATCTTGGCTAAAATACTTGCAAGAAGACTCAGTCCTTGATTTGGTAAACTGGTGCACACTGATCAAACGGGTTTCATCCCCTAAGAGGAACTCCTTTCATAACCTCAGACGTCTTTTTAATATTATGCATTCCCCTAAAATACAGGAGGACTTCATAATACTAAGCTTAGATGAGGAAAAGGCATATGACCAGGTGGAATGGCCGTACCTCTATGCCATCCTGGAAAAGTTCCTAGTTGGTGATGAGTTCATTTTCTGGATCAAGTTACTCTACAGCAAACCCACTGCTAGGATACTTACAAATCAGCAGCTATCTGCTGCATGTTAGGATTTATTGTTTGATTTTGTAAAAGAAGCACTGAATCACCTATTGTGGTTATCTATGCAAGTATATGCTTCATAATAAAAAATATTTGAAACAAGACTACAGGGCTCGGGGCATCACAAGGATGTAGGGGTACTGGTCACCTGGAAACCCCAGAGAGAGATAATCTACCCCAACAACTTCAAATGGATATGAAGTAGAAATGGGTACTATAGGGGCTCGGGTCCAGCCTTAGCACACACACAATGTGGGCAGGTGTCAGTGCTGCACTGGCCATTCTTGGCCACCCAGAGTCCTTTCACTGCTGGGATATCCCATTCTACCGTCTGCACACACCATTGGCTTTCTGCTTGGGAACAATCACTTCGAGGTCATGACTGGTCTCTACAACCAATCTTCCCAGTACACCATTTTGTAGTAGGATGTTGTCCCACTCCCTTAGCAGTCATTTCATATAAGTAGATGATGAGTCAAATACCTCCAGCTGTGGCAATTGTTGCTCCTTCCCTTGTCGTACCTGGGCAAGACCTGGGTTCCTGGCCAGGCTTTGCTCCCGTGTTTTGTCACCTTAGACCACGACCTGATCTGCGTGCCCCACTTCTCTCCTTTGCGCTTGCAACCTGGACAGAGCATCAGCACTTCTATTTTGTATACCTGGGTGGTATTTGATGGTGTACTTGAAGTTAGCCAGCTGGGTCACCCATCGCTCCCAGCCGGGCTGTTTCAAGGTGCACGAACAGGTTGTGAAGAAGGTGAACTTTGCACCATAGAGATAGTCTTTAAACTTCTCTCTAACTGACTAGTTCAGGGCTAACGGCTCTAGCTTAAAGGAGCTGCAGTTCTGGTCTTTGCATTCTGTTGGGTGAAGGCAGCAGCTAGCATAGGCAATTACCTTCTCTTTGTCTCCTTGCACCTGCACCAGTACTGCTCCCAGGCTGTCAAAACTAAAATTGGTGGCTAAAGGGGAAGGAGAGGCAGACTTTGGCTGTGTTGCTAGTTTGGGCATTCTATTGCTGCCCCCACTGCTTGGCCCTAAGCTGTCCTCACCCTCTTCAATGCCATGTTCGTCCTGCTCCTGCCATCTGAAAAACAGCTCTCGCAATCTTAGTATAGATAAAGTACTTGTCTGTGGTGTCAAAAGTAGCTCCAAATTAATCCACCACTTACAATATATGTAATGTGGAGTCAGTTAGAATGACAATCTGTGTGTGTGTGTGTGTGTGTGTGTGTGTGTGTGTGTGTGTGTGTGTGTGTGTGTCTACATAAATTTCAGTAATTGTACTGAAAAGAAATCAAATGTAATATTACTTGATGAAGTAATTAAATCAGGTTTTAACTGCATGGGTAATTGGTAAGCTGTAACCTATTACATTTCAAAAGTAACCTTTTCAAAACTGTAAGAAAACTACTTCTTTCTGTCTTCATCAGTTACACACTGTTTGTGTGCAGGTGAAGTGTGACCAGTATTGGCCCAGTCGAGGCACAGAGACATATGGGATGATTCAGGTCGCCATGCTGGACACTGTGGAGCTGGCTACGTACAATGTACGCTCATTTGCCCTCTATAAGGTGAGAATTCTCTATGTATATTGTATATATGGAGTATGACTGTCTTGGCAGCAAAGCAAAGCATATTTCAGCAGAGGACTAAAAGAGCCCTAAAGATCTTTCAGATATTCACCTTGTTATGATGGAAATCTTTACTTAGTATGATCATAACGATTAGAAAAAGAGCTTAATTGCTTATCATGTTCTGGCTTTTACATGACTGTAATAAATGTATTATCTCTATTTGCCATACTGTACTTTCTGTACTAAGTACTGAATGTTTTCATTCATCAAGAGCAGCATGATGATTGATCAGTTAGCTATTGCAATGCATTTATGTTAATGAATATTTTAATTGATGGCTAATTCCATAATCAAATCATGGAATTTTTAGTGTGTTGAATCATATTTTTTCAACGAGCAAACATGTAAATGCTTGAATAGAATGGCTCGAGTGAAAAGAGAGAGGTTCGTCAGTTCCAGTTTATGGCCTGGCCTGACCATGGAGTGCCAGAGTATCCCACACCAACACTGGCCTTTCTACACAGAGTCAAGGCCAGCAACCCTACAGATGCTGGACCCATGGTGGTCCACTGCAGGTAAACCAGCTGTTACATCAACATAAAGGCATAATTATACTTCAAAATGTGTGTGTTTTCCAATGGCATCACACTGTTGGTTAATTGTGTAACTCTCTGAAATAGACAAACCAACAAGCACATGCACTTTACCTATCAATTGGTCACTTGTGTGGAGATGTGAAAGTAGTATTTTTTCATTCTTTGCACAATTACTTTTGTTCTTGTTCTTGTGAGTGTAACACTGTACACCTCTGGTCTTGAGTACTCATGGGTAGGGATGTCACGATACCAGAAATTTTGTAGTCAATACCAAAACCAGTGAAATTCCACGATTCTCGATAACTATTTCGATACCATGGTAAAAAAAATCATTAAAAAACATAATAAATTCCATGTACTTTCTCTTTCACTCCTTTATTGAAAAATATGAATAAAAAACCTATAAACAAAGAAAAGTGGCATATAGCCTTCAAGAATTTAAAATAAACAATACTGTGCTAAAATATAATAATATTGACATATAATAGATATAACAATAAAATTAAACAACTTTTGACACTGCAAAAAAGAACAGTTACAGTTTTTTGCCACATGGCATGGACTTGGTACCAAAGTATCGGTTCTGGTGACAACCCTACTCATGGGAATGTCATACCACAGTAGGTCAACATATTAGAGGAATATTAACATTGTCAAATTAAAATGACTGTCAAAGCAGGAAAGTATGACTAAACTTCTGTACTATATTTAATCTTATTGATGTTGTTTGACAGATATTTTGAGCACTCAATGATTTAATATGTCATTTGGCTTTAGATAAAAGTATGTTACACAAGCACACAAGCACTTACAAACCAAGGCCATTGCAAATTGAGTTGGCCATCCATTAACAATCAGACTTTTTTGAAAATTGTATACATTTTCAAATACCCAAAAAAGATACAGAAGCTGTAGTAACTTGCATTGAGCCCAGTCAGTTAGCAAGACTAGTCAACAAACACCTGTGATTTATCCCCATTTGTATGATACATTTGGTGAAGTGAGCAAGATGTGCAGAAGACACGATTCTTGGAGGTAAATCAGGGAGGCAGTGGCAAATAAGAGGCTATGACAGCAAGCTTTTCATTTGCATTTAGACATGGTCAACAACACATCACAACCTTTTTCCTTTGGTACCTTCTTAAAGGTAACAGAGGAAACATACAATACTATACTTAACCCACAATTATGAAGTGTCAATCATATTTTCTCTTTGTGCTCTGTCAGTGCTGGTGTGGGCAGAACAGGATGTTTCATTGTGATTGAAGCCATGCTGGAGAGGATGAAACACGATAAGTCGGTAGACATTTATGGTCATGTGACATGTATGCGAGCTCAGAGGAACTACATGGTGCAGACAGAGGATCAGTATATATTCATCCATGAGGTCCTGCTAGAAGCTGCAGCATGTGGCAATACAGAAGTCCCCGCACGCAACCTTTACACCCACATCCAGAAGCTCACCCAGATCCCTCTTGGAGACACTGTCACCACTATGGAACTGGAGTTTAAGGTAGCTACCTTTTCGTTTGTGATTGTGTTATTGAGTTGAACTGCATTTTTGTCTTCAAGAGCTTAACTTCTGAGCTTCAGAAGGAGAAGGAGAAACTGATAGAGTTTAGGAGGGAAAAAGCATCTTACTTCATATATATATATTTTGAATATGATAAAATGCAATTTATGTTAAGTTGGTGACTCTGAGGCCTAAAGTCATTGAGTATGACCTTATAATAAGAATGATGTGAGGAACCAAAAGTCTCAGGAATACCATAGCTGTTGCATCCGTGTTGACCATTTTGACCAGTTTTTTCATGAAGTCTGACTTCACGGAATTACAATAAAATACTAAATGGCTGGTATGCCCCTTTAACTACAGTGGAAGTTTAGGAAGAGGGAAGATTTCCCTCTTCATCCTGTATAACAGAGATGAATTCTGTTTCAGAGGAGGAGCCATAGAATGGGATGAACTACTCCACCATCCCTGATTACTTTCTCTGCTCTTAGTGACTCCACAGTGATTTAACAAGTCCTGTCTTGGGGGGGCATGTCACAACCTAAATATGCTGCTTGTTCAAGCAAGCAGGATGGCTGTAAATCCAGACAGAGCATAATTAGGTTTTAAACCTCAGCTTACAGCAAATTGTCAAAATGACACTTGCCCTTGCAGTGCAGAGGAATCACATTTGACCTGTCCAAAAAACACAATCAATTGGAAAGTTGCTTTCGAAAGTTTTATTATTCTGGGTTTGATATGCATTGGCACTAGCCTGTCTACGTCAGCTCTCAGTAAATGTGAGTGGGGTTTTTTTTGATTTATCAATGTCTACAGAATGAGTTTCAACGGACATCAGAACTTTTTTTTAACTCAGAGAACAAAGACGATTGGCTCAAAGCGCATAATTTTCACGCCTCAATAAGTGGCTCCCAGTGGCCTTTAACAACCTTGTTCACACACAACACTCTGCTCTTTTTAAGTGCTAATACAACCAGTCTTGGCAGAGGTGGACAAGCTTGTGACACTGCAGTGCAGTCACCTCTTGGCTGTGGATTGGTGGTCTGAGGAGAGTCAGAGACATGTTTTCTCTTCTCTGTGTCTGCAGAAACTTGCCAATTCTAAAGAACATACCTCAAGATTCATCAGTGCCAACCTGCCATGTAACAAATTCAAAAACCGCCTGGTGAACATCATGCCTTTTGAGTCTACCCGTGTCTGCCTACAACCAATCAGAGGGGTGGAGGGCTCTGACTACATAAATGCCAGCTTCATTGACGGATACCGGTGAGTTCACATAAATCATTTCAGTGTTTTAACTAACATCTGTTAACGTCGAGACCTTTACCTCTGTGTGTCACTTTTATTACTTCCAAAAAGGGGTTCATCACAGTGTATGTGTTCATGGTGATGAAGGAATACAGTTCAACAGTTGGATTTTTGGATTTTTCAAGAAAAAGAAAAATCATTCAAGGGTTAATTGTCTTATGAAATAAACAATGAAATAAATGAAAAGAAGACCTTGTTATATGTTAGTACATGTGCTCCTGTATGTATCAACACACTTGTGTGACAGCGAAAGTTTGGAGTCTGGCTGATTTGCTAATACAACCATCAGCACTGACATTGTTCTATGTCAGCTAAACTGTGAATCACAAAGAAGCATATCTTTTACAAAAATGTAAACACTAATTGGTAATATTTTTCAGTGCACTAGCAGAGTAAAGCAGAGGTTAATGAGTCAGGACTCCCCTTTTACTTGCACTTGTAGGGTGGGTGTATCTTGCAGGGTGGGTGTATCTTGTTCTCCATTGTCAGCACCTAATAAAGTCCCCTGGTCAGCCCCACCTAAGGGGAGGACGGAGAAAGAGGCAAGGGTGTCTTGTAATTCCTCTCTAATTCCTATTGCAGTAATTAAGAGTGGAGTGCGATACAGGGAGCTCCAGCATTCTCTTGAGCTCAGCCTTTAAAGTGCACATTGCGGATTAGGCTAGATTAAGATGAGGGGGATAGACATGATTATGATGATTAGTGGAGGTGTCCAGTGACAAGCTGTTGTCAATCACTTCAGTGCCTGTGGTGAAAGATAGAAAGCCAGAAAGCTATCAGTATATATAGCCAGCAGTATATCATTACCTCTACATTAGAGAAGACAGTTTAAACCACATATTATTTTGTCATATCACACTGTTATGATTCATTTAGAAGAACCTACTAAAATGTCAAAATGTTGATTGGTTTTAATGTGACTAAAGGAATATTCTATAATTCTGTATTTATTAAAACTTAAATGAGTCACACTTCTGAGTTTGATTTATCTGATCAGTCTGATATTTTTTGATAATTATATAGTAACATTGGCTTGTTAAAACTATCTAAGGTTTTGGATGCTTATTAGTAGCCAAACTATTTGTGTTCTTGAATGCACAGAGGTCAGTAATGATGCACTTCTTAACTTCTTAACTGCCAACATCTGACCTTAAACAAACTCATCCAGGATCAACTGCTGCTGGTCAAATTTCATCTAATCATTCAGCAGTGGTGAGCCAGAACAGCCAGCAACAGACAGCAGCTTTGGTTCCTAAGTTCATATTTGGCTGTTGTTTTATGGTATTTAAATAACAGTTTTAGTGCTTGTTGCACTGAGAGCTGGACAGGGATGGACACATAACCAAAAACAACACTGCCTCCGGCCATCAATGGCAGACACAAATGATAGACCAGGTAACAGAAATGCTCAGTATGTGTAGCACTCAGGCACACAGGTTTGAGAGAATTACCCAAGCCTTCTGCTGCATGGTTCAACACTGCTCCCTAGTGATTGCATCCTGTATGTACTCCAGTGGATTGCCCAGAGTTTGGCTTAGCAGCTGGGATGGAACCTTTTTTTTTAACACTGCTGCCAAAAAGGGTCTGTATTCAAGCAAAACCATTTAAATATCAATGCATATGTTCACAAAAGCTGACTCACCAAATTTACTTTAAGGGGGGTATATAAAATTTAACATTTAACATCTGAGATGTTAGAGATGTTCCTTCAAGAGTTGTGGGATGAACTTGAAGCTATTAAAATGATGTGGTGAATTAATTCAGTTTTTTAGTATTAGTATTGCAGGGTTACTGTTAGTACCAATAATTCTTAATGAACATTATAGGTTATTTGTAAATTATCAAATGTTTGCATTTTTTAAGATAACAAGCAAGAGCAAAGATTTTATTTAGATTTTCAATTTACATACACAAAACTAGCCAAAGAAAGTGACCCCAATGCCCAAGCTGCTTATCTTGTGTCAGTTGGTTTTTGATAGTTTGGGTAATTTCATACTTTTTTGGGAATATGCACTGCTAAAGTACATTATCAGCTGACCTTAAGACAGGTCCTATGTTATATGTTGTAGAGGGGAATGTTTTGTAATAGGGGAATAAAAATTGCATCATATTGCAATTAGCCCCAAATTTTATTTAAAAGAAGTCAGCGGCAAACAGAAAAGTTTTATGCTTTTTGAGATAAATTGAGTTGTTTAAAAATTTAGTCCTTTATTACTTTGGTTGATATTATGTTTAAATGGCACATGTTTTGGATTTAAATAAATCATTACCAATTATGACATAAGATGTCACATATACACTCATTTTTACCCATGGGTTCATCTGGCCATGCATGTTCACAAACAAAAGTCATCTAATCGCAGCCAAGTAAAACAAACTAAACAGCAGAATGTTAAAGATTTTTGATTGTTTATGATGACATATATGACTTGATGTCATAACTTACCACAGCATCATTTTTCATCTGCCATCACCTAATTTTTTTTACAGTATAATGAAATGTTGCACCGGAACCACTGCTAGGGCTGAACAGAAAGAAAGCTGAAATGGAAACCAATTGAGGAGTAAACACGTCTGTTCCAATTTGCAGGCAGCAGAGAGCATACATGGCCACCCAGGGCCCATTAGCCGAGACCACAGAGGACTTCTGGAGAATGTTGTGGGAACACAACTCTACCATTGTAGTCATGCTCACCAAACTCCGTGAGATAGGACGGGTAAGACATCGCAGTATTATTATTATTATCATTATTATTATTATCATTGTTATTGTTATTATGGTATTATGTTATCATATAACATAATTTTCTCAAGTGTAAAACAAACTGACTAAAATTAAAGCCTTAAATCATATCAAAAAGATAAAAGAATAGTGGTTTTACACCTCTGACAAAAAGCAAAGTCTGTGTAAATGTGTTACTTCAGCCTATGTTTTTTTTTTTACATTTTAGGCTGAATTAGCACACACACACAAAGTGGGGTCTGAGGAACAACATTCATTTGCTGCCTGTTTTTTGATTTTTACAGTCTATATAATTATGGTGGTTTTTCTTTGGTCAAAAAGTCAGATGTCTTGTTCAAATGCACTACATGTTTTGATACATACTTTCTGTCCATTCTTTAGGAAAAGTGCCATCAGTACTGGCCTGCTGAGCGCTCTGCACGCTACCAGTACTTCGTTGTGGACCCCATGGCTGAGTACAACATGCCTCAGTACATCCTGAGAGAGTTCAAAGTCACAGATGCCAGGGTAGGCTCACCTCAGCAATATATAGGCCTATATATCTCTCTGTTCTAGGTTTGTGAGCTAATGCCTAGAATTACAGGAATACAGGAATACCTTAGTCCGTAATAATGCATCACCCCCAACACTGGTCTCTACTTCATCTAACAGAAGTGGGCTGCAGAATTACTTACAGTCTCTGTCCTCATTTTCCTGTGTGTTTGTCAGGATGGTCAGTCGAGGACCATCAGGCAGTTTCAGTTCACTGACTGGCCAGAGCAAGGAGTGCCAAAAACTGGGGAGGGATTCATTGACTTCATCGGCCAAGTCCATAAAACTAAAGAGCAATTTGGACAAGATGGACCAATCACTGTGCACTGCAGGTAATTGTGTGTGTGTGTGTGTGTGTGTGTGTGTGTGTGTGTGTGTGTCTGTGTGTGTGTGTGTGTGTGTGTGTGTGTGTGTGTGCGAGTGAGTGTGAGTGAGTGAAAGTATCATGTTTACTAAAGGAGGCATAAGGCACATTAGACAAACCGAGCAGGAGAGAGGGAGGGAGAGAAAGAACTCATTGGTAACTGCTAAAGAAACTATCAGATCTGAATAGCATATAAACAACAGAAACACCAGCAGCACAGCAATTTAGGTAATCTGTGCACAGAAAACTTTCTCAGTCTTGACCTGGGTTGTGTCTAACATTAACGGTAACATTGACGGTAAGAAGGCAATTAATTTGATCAATTGACTAATATATCAATTTTTATGTTATTACTGTTTTTATTACTGTTTATTACTGCAATTCAATTTAAACTAGAAGGACCGCCAACCAGCCAAGTTGCACAAAATTTGGTCACAATTTCCCCTTCCTGAGTTACAGTATTGAAAAAAAGAGGTGCTTTTGCAGAACATTATGATGTCCCAATGAAGTTGACCTTTGACTGTTTGGATATTAAAGGTCATCACTTAATTTTATCCTTAAAGACATTTTAATTAAATTATGTCATAATTAGTGTATGAATTCATGAGTTATGGCCAAAAACATGTTTTGTTAGGTCACAATGACTTTGACCTTTTCCCACCAAAATCTAATCAGTTCATCCTTGAGTCCAAATGAATGTTTGTGCCAAATTTTAAGAAGTTCCCTCAAGCCAAAGAGGGAGGATATCCAGAGATACAACCATACAGACAGATGGATGGACAACCTGAAAACACAATGCCTCTGGCTGTCGCTGGCATAAAAGTGACAGTGTTTGACAGAATGGACAATATACTTATTGTCCATACTTATTGTCCTCCTGCTGTCAGGATCTATTGGAGATTCTCTGAAGTTCTGATTTTATCCTGACTTTTATAAAAGTCAACACATTGAGGACCATCAGGCAGCTTCAGTTCACTAGCCATGTGATACAGGCTGTCAGGCCCGGGGGTCATGTTGACTTATCTTTCAGATGTATGTGCATGGTGATTTGTAATGGGGTTCTAATAATGTGTGTCAATTAGTGCTGGTGTTGGGCGGACTGGTGTGTTCATCACCTTGAGTATCATCCTGGAGAGGATGAGGTATGAGGGAGTGGTCGACCTCTTCCAGACTGTCAAGATGCTCCGTACTCAGAGACCAGCCATGGTGCAAACAGAGGTATGATACCCTGCTGCTGAGTGAATGAGTAACAGGACATAAAAGAAAACATAAGAACATGTTATGTAAATAAGAAGAGAATATAGCACAGTTGAAAGATTCCAGCATGTTGAAGTCATGTTGAGGTCAATGTTTGTTTGAAAATACGAAGAAACCCAGATGAACAAACTTCAGAAAACACAGCAGCAAAGCATGTCAAGAAAATGTAAGAATGGATGTTAAATGTGTCAGTAATGTTTCTGCTGTGTGTTGATGCAGTGTTTCTCCCATTAAATGAAAAATGTTGCTCCATATAAATCGGCAAATATGTTGTTACAATTTCACCATATCAATTTAATAGTGTTTTGTTCACTGCGTCTTTCCACTGCCCCCAAAGTTACATTCCACTTGTACATTTTTGAGGTTATAGCAGTTTGCAACATTTTTATAATTAGCAGACAAGAGCAAACATACATCCTACCGAAGTCCTACCTGAAATATTCTCATGACTATATCTATTACTGCTTTAATTTCTACTTTCCACTTACAAACTGACCAAAATATTGTTTTTTTTTTACACTAGGACCAGTACCAACTGTGCTACCGAGCTGCTCTGGAGTACCTGGGAAGTTTTGATCACTATGCAACATAGCCCTACCCAGAAAGACACCCTCAGAAAACTTTCTGTCTCCTCTGAGTCGTATCCACCCAGTTACATCAGTCCCTGCGGCCTGATGAGGAGGTTACAAGGAGGACTGCTGAAGAGGTGACCACAGCACAAAACAGGAGAGATTAGAAGACAGAGGAGAGGGGACAGGATGACCTCCTGCTGGACTGGTGCCACAGACTCAAGACCAATACCTCCAAAACACCAACCCTGAAAGACTCAGAGTCATGCCTCATTCTGGTTCTTGACTGAATACTCTCATCACCCTCTAATTTCTGCCTCGTCCTAATATATATATAGTCTTCATTACTTATTGTCATGAATATTTAGAAATTATTTTGTATCACTTACACTGGTCTTAATGTTTTGGGGTTTTTTTTGCTTATCTTTATAGTATTTTTATTAGCACAAAGGACATGTATTTTCAACATGCTCAAAGATTAACACTGGAGAGCATATACTCACAGCTGCTAATATTCTAATGTTATCATTACTCAGTTGGCCCTGTGTAGAAGGAAATGTGGGTTCTGACTTCCTGTCTTGACATCAGACAGAATGGTGATGAAAATATGCTGGCAGTACAGAGTTTTTTGTCCATAACCGTTGACTGATTGTCTCACAGCCTCAGAGAACTGAAGACCTCCAACAAAAGAAATGTAAATCTATTGGAGAGGTTGTATGCACAAAAGTTTTTAAAGTTATTTTTCTGCATTTTTTGCCTTTATTTTGATAGGTGCAGAGAGTCAGGGAAGTCAGGCAGAGAGAGAGGGAATGACGCAGCATTGCGAAATAAGTGTGATGACATAAAATGCAGATCACATGATCCATGGATGAAAAAGAAAAGAAATCCATTATGAGACACCAATTTATAATAAGATGTTTTCTTCTGAGAGCATTAAACCAAGACTCAAGGCTGAACTTAAATAGAATTGATTTAGTTGCTTAACTCTTTTTGTCAACTAAATCCATGGAAAGACTTAATGTGGTAATCTGTCTCTCAATAATTTACTAAAGATAATAACTCCAAGCTGTTCCTATTGAAAAACATTTTTGAGTTTAAAAAAGGGTTCAGTAGTTTCCACAACAGTTAACATTGGCAGGTTTTGGGAAATGTTCCTCAAACTAGAGTAAATAGTACATTTGTTGGGGACTATATTCAGCAGCAGATTAATCCACTTTTGGTGCTCTAGTGTTTATTTGGGGCAGCAGGACTTTGTGTATGATTGAGTCAAAACAGTACAACGTGGAACATGTCTAACAGTGTGGTTCACTGATGTATTTTCAATAGTTATTGGACAGCAATGGAGCTTTATAGCTCAAGTGGAATAAGAGATCAGGTTTTGATATACACGCAATACTTATTAGTGGAATCAGTTCATTGTTTGGCTGGGTCTGCATATGGGATTTCTTGACAGAACAAATATTTATCAAAAAAAAATTTTTTTTTAAATCAAAAACATATCAGAATTTTCCTTTAAACAAAGTTTAAATGTAAAGACCCAAATTTTGTTAGAACAGTCCACAGCTGAATTTTAAATCATCAACAGTGAGTTTGGAAGAAATGTAAGAATTTGGGGGCACTATTAGAATATATTATATAAAGAATTACCGCCTCTGCCAACCAGCCAAATTGCAGGAAATATGGTGGACAACAAGCTCCCCCTCATGAGTGACAGCATTGAATAATAGCCAGTTCAGAACATTATGACCTTTGACCTTTATCCTTATAGGCTTTTGAGCTTAATTGTGTCAGTATAGTGTTAGTATTCATGAGTTTTGGCCAGTGTTTTGTGAGGTCACAGTTTGACCACCAAATTCTAAACAGTTTATCCAAGTGAATGTTTGTGCCAGATGTAATGGAATTCCCTCTGGGTGTTCCAGATAAGAACATGAGCTCACCGTGACCTTGAACTTTGACCCTTTCCCACCAAAATGTAATATGTTCATCCTTGAGTCTAAGTGGACATTTGTGTCAAATTTGAAGAAACTCCCTCAAGACTGAGGTATCTCGTTCACGAATGTGACAGAAGGACAACCTGAAACATAATACCCTCTCAAATACCTTTAGGTTGCTGTCAGCCAACCAGATTTTTTATGGTTAGAAAATGCTATGTCTAACTTTTGTAACATTTAATCTGGTTTTCTGTCCTCATACTCATTTCACATTTTTAGATATTGTACACAAGTAAAGTAAATGTTGTCAAGTAAATGGACTGCATTTTCTTTTCTAGTTTTCACAATCACTCAAAGTTGTGAAACTACACTACTACTCACATCCATCCATTCACAGACACATTCATACAGTGCATCTCTATTAAATACACTCAAGGACCATTCGACATGTGGACTGGAGGAGCCAGGGATTGAACCACCAACCTTCTGATTAGTTACCTCCCACTCTACCTCCTGAGCCACAGCCGATGCAAGTTAATACAGTATGGACAGTCATCATGGACCACATGTACTGAAAACATGACTGTTCAAAGTGAGGTGGATGATTTAGTGATCCCCACACATCTGTCCCACTCATATAACTTACATATTACATATTATAACTATTACATGTAACATATTATACATGTTAACATCTTTCTGTTTGCATACATGAATCTATATACACATGGATCCCATTTCATGATATATTACAGCTCAATCACTGTGTTGAGCAGCATCATTGTTCAGTGGTGGATCTCTGGTTCTCTTGACCTCTGGTTTTTCACTGGAAGAGATGACAGTTTGGGATATAGTGGTGTTACCTGAAGTAACATATCTGTTTTCTATCTGTTAATAAAAAGCAGAGAAAATGTCTTGAAAATCTTAGTTAATAAAGTTGAATTACCAGGTTTTTAATATAAAATGGGTAGTTTCTTCTCTTCAAGCTGACACTTACCAGATTTGCAGTCCACTTTGCTTCTGTGAGCATGAAAGATGGTAAGAATAATGAAGAGTCAGTCGTATCTCCATTAGCCCTTGTTCTCTCTTTTGTTGCCGTTATCAGTGTTTCATATTTTTGATGAAAGTGAACATTTATCTGTGTTAATCTATATACACTCCTGATCAAAATCTTAAGACCAGTTAAAAAATTGCAAGAATTTACATTTTGCACTGTTGGATCTAAAGAACGTTCTAAGTAGAGCTTCAAAATGCAAAAAGAAGAAATGGGAACAAGAGACCAAAAGTTTTGAGCAGGCAATTTATTGAAAACAACAATTTAACTGAAATAGGCTGTTCATCAGCTGATCAAAAGTTTAAGACCATAGCTCAAAAAAACCCGAAAACCCCCTAAAACAGAAATTAAAGTGTCAAAAACGGACTCAGTAATGAGTAGCTCCACCATTATTGTTGATCACTTCAAAAATTCGTTTTGGCATGCTTGATGCGAGTGTTTCCAAAAGGCTAGAGAGAATGTTGCTCCAAGTGGTGAAGATGGCTTCACGAAGGGCATCCACTGTCTGGAACTGATGTCCATTTTTGTAAACTTCCCTTGCCATCCATCCCCAAATGTTCTCAATTGGATTTAGATCAGGGGAACACGCAGGATGGTCCAAAAGAGTGATGTTATTCTCCTGGAAAAAATTCTTGGTCAGACGGGCATTGTGAATTGTAGCGTTGTCCTGCTGAAAAACCCAGTCATTACCACACAGACGAGGGCCCTCAGTCATGAGGGATGCCTGCTGTAAACATCTCCACATAGCCAGCTGCTGTTTGACACCCCTGCACAACCTGGAGCTCCATTGTTCCATTGAGGGAAAAAGCACCCCAGATCATGATGGCGCCCCCTCCACTGTGTCGTGTAGAAAACATCTCAGGTGGCATCTCCTTGTCATGCCAGTAACGTTGGAAGCCATCAGGGCCATCAAGGTTAAATTTTTTCTCATCAGAGAATAATACTTTCTTCCAACTGTCGGGGCGTCGAGCAGTGGGTCACACCGAAAAAGAGAGAGAAGGCGGTGTTGATCGGCCAGTCGTCACTCTGTAAATGCCTGGAGTTCTACAAAAGATAAACTGAAACTTCAGAATCGATCTCATCACACAAGTATCGATCAATAACCATACAACGTTAGTATCGATACTATCGATATTTAAATCGATCTCGCCGCACCCCTAGTTATCACACACTGTAGCCATGTTTACCTGTGCTCAGAAGCGCTGTCTGTGTCCTGACCTCAGAAAAAGTACGTTATGACTCAAGTCTAAAGCGGTCCGCGGACGCGGGAAGAGCGGAGGAGCCCTTAGCTAGCTAGCTAGCAGGCTAAAATATTCAAACACTGACAAGCCAACATAAAAATAAAAAGTTAATTAATCATATACATACCCCAAGGGTCCCACGTCCATCAATTGTCTCATCAAATGAGCACCAAGACGTACCAGTCGAGGTGTGTTGTCCAGGAACCTGTTCTTGCTGCTGCCTCAGAATTCAAGTACAGGCACTCTGACTCACCTGCTGAGCATGCGAAAATATTTGCAAGCTGACCTCCTATTACCGTAAATTTTTGCTTAGTTGGTACAGTCAATTCAGTTGTTGTGTTAAATTACTTGAGTAATGGATAATATTTACTTATCAAAATGAAGATACATAATTACAAACAAACATCAGTAACACATTAAATAAAAGGTGACATTTTAAAGTAAAAGCACTGAAATAATATTTCCTTGTAAAATTTAAACAAATAATCAAGGTTATAATTAAGACCAAAAAATCCTTTTTTTCAGTGTGTATGACTTCGAATGGACTGCCTGTAGCATAAGAAGCATTCAATGAATGCTTTAACGTTTCAGTACAAACTGACATAACATTACAGATCTATTATATTATTAATATATGATCTATCTATTACCCCCTGACAAATCTTAAGAGTTAAAAATTGCAAGAATTTTACATTTTGCATTGTTGGATCTTAAGAAGGTTCTAAGTAGAGCTTCAAAATGCAAAAGAAGAAATGGGAACAAGAGAAAAAAAAATTGAGCTTGCAATTTATTGAAAACAACCAATTTAACTGAAATAAGCTGTTCATCAGCTGATCAAAAGTTTAAGACCACAGCCTTTAAAAGCCAAAATCTGTGCAAAAATCTGGATTCCATGTCATTTTCTGTCAAGTAATCACACTGTCAAGATCTCTTGATGGCAAAGGCAAAAAAATCTCACTGTCTTTGAACGTGGTAGGATTGTTGAGCTGCATAAACAAGGCCTCTCACAATGTGCCATTGCTGCTGAGGTTGGACGCAGTAAGACAGTCATTTTGCATTTCTTAAAAGATCCTGAGGGTTATGGAACAAAAAAATCAAGAGTGGTAGACCATAAAAATCTCACCAGCACTGAGCGAGGATCCGAATGGCTGTCCGTCAAGACACGGGACGATCTTCGTCCCAAATTAAGGCCATTACTGGTGCTGACTGCAGCCCAATAACCATCAGAGCGGCATCTGCGAAGAAAGGCTTCAAAAACGAAAAACGTCTTCAAAGGCCACGTCTCCTTCAACGCCACAAAATTGCCCATTTGGACTTTGCAAGGGAGACCAAACATGGGACATTCAAAGTTGTGTAGCAGCATAAGAGGAAGCTGCTCTTGATTGATAGCCAGCTGTAGCCGATAATTGGTCCAGCGTCATATAAAAGCGGCAGTCTGTCACCTGCTCTGTCTTGTGCTCCCTCATTGCGTCATTTCCGGACGGATGATTGTTTGCCCCTTCAGAGCGGCAACGGTGGGCTGTGTTTGCTGTTGGACTTAGCGTCTTCTGTATTGGTAGGTGTCCTTCTCTCTCTCTGCCATTGCTGTCGTTCTGCTGCGCTAAATGCTGGTGTGGTTACAGGTGAATGCGGTAGCCGTGCAGGTCTCGCTCGTCTCCTCACTCCCATATGCCTGTGTGAACTCTAAAAAGGTAAGCATTTGTTATTGCTGCTTCCCACAATTCTTCAATTTTAGCCTTAGCAATGCTAATTTAGTTTTTTTGTTAAATATTAGGAAGTCATCAGCTGACAGAATCCACCGGTTGTGACGTCACCACCAGCTGACTTGAGCCGCTGCTGTTTCGTCTCCTGCTTGCTTGCTTTGTGTCCTGTTCCGTGTTCACAGCTCCTTGCTGGCTTGCTCCTTTGCTGTGTTTGCTGCTGTTTGTCTGCGCTGCTGCGGGCTCTCCATCTCGCTCAGTTACCCGCTCGGCCTTGGTTGGTCGACTGCTCCGCTCTCTCCATCTTCGCTCAGTTACCGGCTCGGCCTTGGTTGGTCGGCCGCTCCAGCTCTCCCTCCCGCTTTGCCTGCTGTGCGGTGCTTGCTGCTGGGCTGCGGGTGACTGACAGCTGCCTTACACAGCCATTGGGTTTGCATAGGACTGTGGCAATACGGTGTAGAGTGTTTTTTTTTTTTTTATTATTTTATTTCATTTCGGGCAGTTTTAGTTTAGTTGTTACCTGCCCATTTTTTCTCATTCTGTAAGTTTTTATTTGTTGATTATTTTTGTAGTAATTTGTCCTTTTTTTTTTTTCAGTTGCTGTCAGGCCAGTGGTGGTGCTGGTGACCCGGGTGGTGGTGTCCCTTCCTTCTGTGTGCTGTGTCCTGGGATTTTTGGGTGATTTCACATTGTGTGTGTGCTTTCCACGTGTGTTTGAGGGTCTGATTATTTTCACCTTAATATTATTTTGTATTTGGTAGACTCCCACCTCCTCTCACTAGCTCCTGCCCACACCCATAGGCCTCAGCTCCTGAATTTATTTCCTTTTTTTTTCTTGTTTTGTATGGTTAGATTTTATAGTCTTTTAGCGTATTTTTGAAATAAAGTGTATTTTTTGTTGTAAGTACTTGGACTCATGTCTTTTGCCTGAAGTATACGAACCTGTGTCCCATTATTGTTAATGGTGAATAATTCCTTGGTGAAATTCCAAGGTGGCGTTGTCAGGCAATTAAAATAGAATTTGGATCGGTGTGC